TTATAAAAATCGAAGCACAGGGCCCCTCCCTGGGGGACAACAGGTTAAAACACAGCACTATGAAGCTGCCCGCAGCCACCGCAGCCTGAGTTTGACCCCCAGCCAGGGAGTGACCCACAGGGTGCGGCAGACTTCTCCTGTTTCCTGCTCCCCTCAGCAGTGCACTTTGTCAGTAGGCCTGTTCTGTTCCCCAGCCTGTCTCTAGTGAATCCTCCCATCACCTCTGGCCTGTACCTCAGTTCTGTCTGCATCAATAAATCAATCTTAGAAAGGTGAGAGTTTCCATTTTTGTCTTGCCAGTGGCTCATTAGCGGTGCACTCTGAACTCATCCCCAGGGCACGCAGGTGCTAACTTCACTGCTGCGGGTACATTTCTGTGGTGTGTTTCTTAGTACTAAGTGCAAATGATCCATGAACATGATCAGGTTATGGCGAAGCACAAGCATAAGTTAAGATGAATTTTCCCTCTGTCCTGGCAAAATCTTTTGGGAGGATAAATCTCTTGACCTCTTGGAGTGGCATGGTCTTGTGGCTACCAGGCAAGTAAAATAAAGTGGAAATATCCAGTTTAGGGCACTGAAGGAGCAGGCGATCCTTATTTTAAACTTTAACTCGGGATGGAGTAGGTCCTCCCAATTCTCACATATTTCCATTTTCCACAGGCTCTTTCTCACATTAATATTACTCCTTTTGGTGTAGTCACAACCATATCACACCAGTTTCAAAATGTTGGTTTAAAAACACAGCACTGAGCATGAATGTGCTTTGGAGATAGACAATTCTTTTCCAGCTGTGTACCTTGAGGTGATCTGCTTTCTCTGAAGCTTGAATTCCCTACCTGCAAAAATGGTAAAATATGTAGAATTTGCTTGTGAATTTTGGTGTTTCCATGAGAGACTCCTTCAGAGAGATCTGACTTAACATAGAGCAAAAACGCACAGGAGGATGCCTGACCTCAGAACCACGCATGAAGGAGGCATCCAACCAGCTGCATGAACTTGGCACTTGATGGTGAAGTGAAAGTTTGATAGACAGACAGAGACAGGCAGAGCCAAGCTGGGAAGCAGATGGTGGCACAGGCCATGGACTGGGGCACCTATGGGTGTCGTGCAAAGCGCAGCTGGAAACAGCCAGAGGAAAGGTCACAGACACCCTGACTTGGCAAACTAAGGAACCGGCACTTGTGAACCAGGGCATTTAAAATCTATCTCCAAATCGTTTTACAAATCCTGCATATTTTGACCCAAATTCGAATGTAGGTCTTTCTTTAGGCAGCTTTCAAAGGAGCGTGAGTTGTGCTACCGTTGTGAGTTTGGTTGAGGACAGTGGAAAGGCGGCGTAGAAAGCGTAGAAGGTGGAGTAACCAGGAAGAGCATGATACTAACAATGCCACATTTCCTTTGTCTCAAAACGCACGCCCTCATGTTAACTTTCCATGGCTTGTCTTACTAAACTTTCCTAAGGGGGAATAAAAAGAAAATGTGCTTGACACCATAATAAATTACCCCCATTTTACAGACGAGGACACCAAGTCTTGGCAAGGTTAAGTATCTCCCCCAGCAGCACACAGTGAGTAACAGAGGTGGATGTGAAACCGAGGCTACTCGAGCACAGTGCTGGCGTTTTAATTCGTTAGAGTAAACCACGAAGAACAGGGCCCTGGAGACCTCAGCTCTTTCATTCCGGTGCTACCCCTTGGCAGTAGTGGTGGGCACAGGGGCCGCCCTGCGGGGTGGTGGCTGTGGGGTTGTGTTGTCAGATGGGAATGACTCAGTGTCGAGGGAGGAGAGGCGCTCCGTGGCCCTTCCCGCGGAGATGGAGAAATCCCGGCTGACTTTCGGAGGAGGCAGCTGGATATGTAGGTCTGAGTTCGGGGCAGGTGACCTTTGAGGAACCAGAGCCATGCATGATTTAGCTTTTAAGAGTTTTGCACAGGGTGGGTGGTTTTAAATAATAATGGCACAATTTAATTAACTTGTAGAAGAAAAGGAACATTCTTGAGGAAATCTCACAAATCTGTTCTGGGCAACACTTTAAGCACCTCCCCTGACCCCCAACATGAAGACACTTCTGGAGGTGCTGACTAACCACAGAAATCTAGTGTTTTGGTTGTTTTATCTTTTTAAACTGATAAAGGTCAAGCTTTCATTATTTGACCAATTTTGGGGGCAATGAATCTCTGAAATGTGTATCTTATAGCTCTGATTCAGTCGTTGGGGGCAGAGAAAAATAAAAAATATCTCATCCTTGCCAACACTTTGGTTTGTGTGAATCACAGCTCAGTGGAACCTTTCAGGCGTATAATTTATCTTTTCTTTGGCCTATGTAGTAAATGCTTCATTTGTTCATGAATTCTGGCCTTGTTTTAATTATGCTATGCTCTGAATGTAGTTTTATAAAGCACAAAAATAAGATTGTCGTTCTGAAAACACAGAAGATTTGTGTTTCCCCTCGGAATGAAATGGTGGCATCTTCTCCCGATTCATGGCACTTGGGTCTGTGGCTGGAATTCCAATCCAGTCAGGAGCATGCAGTCGCACTGGGGGACAGACTCCTGGGGGGGGGGGAGGGAGGACAGCTGACAGGGCTGAGCCCAGGCCATAACTTAGCCTCAACTCTCAACCAATACATTGGCCTCCACTTATGCATGAAGCAAGAAAAGCACCAAGAAAAGCACTGATTGAGAAGTTGGGGGCCTATTCCTTTTGGGGCACTGGATTCTTTCAATACTTATATAGAGCTACTGATGGGGCCCCCGATACAGACGATCAGCCAGGGATCAGATGGGAAACTCACAATCAGGAGGCTGTTGCTGTGCTGAGAAAAAGTCTGCGCAGATATGTATATTTGCATATCAGCAAGTTTGCTGGCTACTCATAAATTTTCTGGGGTTTATGTGTCCAGGGCAGAATGAACATCCCATATTCCAAATTCCAAGGCTACTACCAACCCCAGCTGGAAAATCGTGGGGCAACCAAAATAGATGTAGATTTTGTGGGTGACTCCGAGGACAAGAACTCACTTATACAGACAAGTTGCAGCGCTGGGGTCTTCTCAGAGGCTCTATAGCTTTAAAATACGACCCACCAGTGGACGCTGGCCACGGACCTGCGTGGCCCTGACCAGCCCCCTCCAGGCTGCAACCTCTCTTTGGAATCGTGACACTGAAGTGGGGGCGCTGACCTCGGGTCTGCAATACAGGGTGCCCTAGAGGTCTCCATGATGCCTCAGACTAGGAGGCTCTGGGTGTGGGGTTAGCGAGCAGTGGGTGAGTCACTGACACCTCTCCCCAATGGGCACAGCAGTGCTGCCTTCTCTTCCCATCACTAACTCAGGCTTTTCCTAACCCAGCTTTGTCTTTGCCCATGTAAAAGAGGCACATGACTCTTCAGAAAATCACCCCCTCAGAATGGCCTTAGGGGCTCAGGAGCAAGGTGAGGGCTCAACAAAAGTCTTCCCACTTACAGTAAAACAGCAAAGAGTTTCTCAAATATTCATGGAGATTGATGCTCACCTACTGTCCAGTGCCAGGCTTACACCTTGATGGAATGTTCCAGGGCCAGGTTGGGCTATTCTCCTGGTGTCTGGGCATCCTCCCCATGCTGGATCTCCCCCAGGGGAGCACCTGGCCCCTTGCGTAATCATGTGGGGATTTGCTGCTCTGCTATTTCTGGGTGCGGACCGCCAAGGCCCGGTGTCCTGGTAAGCCCCGGGGTCGTGCCTGGCCTGTCACCGGTAGCACCTGGTGCATCTGTAGACTCACTGTGAATTCGACAGGAAGCTACTCACTTGGGCCTCAACTGGGCAATTGGGAAGCAGCGTTTGAAAGGCAATTTTTTAGAAGATTGAAAGAACATTTGAAAACCAGCTCTTAGATTCGTAACTTACAGAAAGAGCAAAAATACTGATAGCAGGAAACTTATTATCTTTTCCTTATTTTACTTGCCTGAAACTTTCCACTGGTGTCTAATATTTAAAATATTATTGTTGACCCCAGCCTGGATGCATTAAATTCACAGGTTGATGTGATGTCCATTTTCCATGAAGAAAATGTCCATTTTCCATGAAGCTTCGAAGTGAGCCTGGCTGTGCGGGTGCTGAATCCGTCACGGCCACTACAGTGCCTGGGACCCTCCAGTCACTCCGTCCTCAGCCATCCACAGAACACGTGCCAAGCACTAATTTTATTTTCTTGCTGCTAATCGCAACTATAGGCACTCAATTTTATCCCCAGGCTTAGAAAAAATACTGTTAAAAGTCCATTACTAAGGAAACAAATGCCTTGAAATACAATACATCAACTTCTAGTTCCTTCTTCACGCAAGGAATTCTCTCCTGGGCCCCCCCACCAATGAACTCTGCAGGTTAAACACAAATGTTCTTTTTTAACATCAGAAAGAACTTGCCTTTCTTTGCTCAGGAAAGAAAGCGGCCAGTTGGAAGGCCCTCTTTTAAAAAAGACTCAGCTTTTGCAAGGTATTACTCCAGCTTGATGGAAAATAATGACCACATAAAAGAATCTGCGTGCAGTTGTAGACTCTAGTATTTAAATGTTCCGCCAGCAGATAAAGGTCAACCCAGGCCATTAGTGGCAAAAAGACATGTTTCCCCCCACAACTGTTGACCAAACTGCCATGGGAACTGGGCTCCCGGCGGGGGGCTGTTTCAGTCTTTGCAACATCAAGTCCTTTCTGCCTCGTCCCTCCAAAGTCACTGATTCCAAATGCCAGCTGCATGCACAGTCCCCCGTCCTTGATGCGGAGAAGACGCATTCATGCGTGCGTAACTCACCTCTTTCCTTTTACCTCAACACGACGCGCTGTTCCTGTCCCTCAAAGACACCTGTGCCACGGGCGCCTCGCGGGGCGCCAGGCTAGAGGCTACTTGTTCTAGTGGAATCCACTGTCCCATACCCTGTCCGGGCCCCGGGGTTTCGGCGCCACTGAGGCGTGACCGTGCACCCCTGGGGTCCCAGAGCTCGCGCCCCACCCAGCACTTACCGCCTCCGCAGGGGCATGGCGGCCGCGGCGTCCCCGGCTGCCGTCCGCCTGGTCCGCTCCGTCCGCCTGGTCCAGGGGCTCCGCCCTCTGCGCCTCCTGTATCCTGTCACTCGGTGCCTTTTCCGGTCGCTTGTCCAGTTTGAAGAGTTTGTCAAAAATGCTGGAGTCCTTGGGCTTGGACGGGGCTGCGCCCCCCGACCCAGGTGGGAGAGGCTCTGGTCCCCAAGTGGCCGCGCTCGGGGCCTGCTCGGGGGTTTTATCCCGGGCGCCCCCGCCTGCAGCTGCTGTCGGAAGTGCCCGGCTCTCACTCGCGCCTTTGTTCGGCGCAGCTTCGGCGGGGCTGACATCAGGCGTCACGGACTCCCGGGATGAATCCGTGGCTTGGTCTCCGGCACGTCCTGGTACAGGCCGAGAGAGCGTCAAGAAAAAACGCGATTTAGCAGCTGGTGGCTCGGGATTGGCCTCTTTCCCAAGGTCCTCGGCGCTGGCATCCTCACCCGCGCGGAGCCCCGTTGTCTCGGAGGAAGAAGCGGCCACATTATCCTGCTGGAGGCTGATCCCCAGATCGACTGTAAACACACAACATAAACAGGGATTATTCAAGCCGAGGAAATTCAGGGGTGAATAATGGACTCTGAATGTTTGATACACAAAGACCATGGAGCCAGCGGGACTCGGCTCTGGAGTGACCGTGCAGTGCAGATGTTAGCTGTCCAGCTGGCTCCTGACCCTGGTCTCTGGACAGGCCAGTGGGCCGGGAAGGTAGCAAGGCCAGGGGTGGAACACAAGCGACATCACTGCTGCTCTCCTGACACTCACACCAGAGAAGCAGCTGCTGGCTGCAGCCGGGAATCTGCAGAACCAGGAGCCGCTCTGGGCTGAGCCGGGGTTTGGGCTGAGCCGGGGTTTGCGCCCTGCCCGCTGACAGCTGCGGCAGGGTCGGGTTTGTTGGGGGGCAGGGGGCCTCCTGCATGCTCCACCCCCAGATGGCAGGAGCCTCCTCCAGTTCTGACAACCCAAAATGACCCCCGACAGCACCCACTATCTCCTAGGGGACTGAGAACACTCACATGGGGGAGCCGTGGAGCTGCGTAATCATTTGAGTCCAAGCTACTTAATTCTATGCCCCCACTGTCTGGTAAGATGAGGCAAGAAGTAGAACCAACCTCAAAGGTTTTAATGATGATTGCATGAGTTAATATTCTCAAAGCATATGGAACAGTGCCTGTCACAAGTGAGGAACTCCCCACAGGGGCGTGAGTGCACTTCCCTGGACTGGCCAGCTGGCTGGTAAGGGGCAGAGTCCAGTTAGGGGCAGGAATCCTACTTCCTCGGGCATGTACTACATTACCTACATCCGCTCAGATGGCCGTGGACACTGGGAGGTTTTACAAGGTGAGGCTCGGAAAGACCCAGCTGAAGCCTGAATAGCAGCTGTCTGCAGCAAAGGTGAGTGAGACTGGCCTGCACAGACCCAGGGGGGAGGCGGCTGCCCAGGACGGTCGTGGGGAGACCTCTGCCTTCCAGGGGTAGACGCCAGGCTCATGCTTCCAACATACACCTGCTTCTGCTTTCACCCCGTTGTCTCACCTGCTTTGCGGGGTGCCTTTTCGACAGCAAGGCAGGATTGGCCTCCCTGGTGGCAGTGGGTTAACGCGCAGCTCGACAAAGCTGGCCACAGCCACTTCAGCCAAGTTCGATCCCCGGCCGGGGAGGGACCCCCAGGGCACAGCAGATCTCTCCTGTCTCCCCGCTGCTCCCCTCAGCAGTGTACTGTGTCGATCTGCCTGTTCTGCTCCCCACTCTGGCTTTGGTGGATCCTCTCACCTCCCACACCTCTGGCCTGTACCCCAGTTCTGTATGCATAAGTAAATAAATCTTAAAAAAAAAAAAAAAGAAAGGCAATATTTAGGGGAAAAGATACCATCCATTTTGGACTTACAAAATTCTCTATGGATAAATGGATGAGCTGTGTGGTGGTAGACAATAGACAAGTCACCCCACATCACTGAATTCCCTCACGGATAAAATGGGAAGAGTAGGTGCTTCCGCGCAGGGAGGCCGTGATGCTTAAAGGTGAAAACTTGAGCGAAGGGTGCTCACAACGCTTTTTGAGGGAGCACAGAAGGTGCTTGACCCTCGACGAGACCGTGATGATTGAAGGTTTCTCTGCGCTGATTTACACAGGAGCAACCAGCCACTTAGTAGCTGTTTGTGAGAAGGACAGAAAGAGAAGGGAGGATCCGAATTTCTTTGGGTCTGCTCACACGGTTCACAACTGTAAGTGGCCATCACGCAGACACACGCACACACAGCCGTGCTTTTGCTAAATGCTGGTACCAGGGTCAGAAGGGGCCTGTGCCCAGGTGGCTTCTTATTTAGCAGCAGGGAGAAGAGAAGACATGGGCAGAAGACCCGTGACCAGCTCCAGGGGGACTCGCCCCACAGCCTCCGGCCAGTGCCCCCAGCACGGACCCTCTGTCTGTGTCTGTGGTCCTGACTCTGACAAAGGCTAGACTTGGCGGGGACAGCGTGAGGACAGGAGGTGGCGAGGGGGCCGCCCCAGAGCGGCGGCCCAAGGGTCAGAGGGAATAGAAGTGACTCGTGGGATGGCCCATGCCAGGAGAAAAGGGGACAGTTGACAAAAAAGGGGAGACAGAGTCAAGACAGGGAAGGGCTTTTCCGAATGCCGGGCTGCCTGGAAGAAGGCTCTGGGGGTCCCCAGGGAGAGCCCTCGGGAAACCAGGGCGCCCGGGGCTGCCAGGACTGAAGTCAGAGCCTGGGGCCTCAGAACCCCCGGGCTCTCGGAAGGCAAAGGCCTGAGCAGAGACCAGCCGGACGCCTGGCAAGTCCGCAGTCTGTGCCCCTGGCTACCTCCAGCAGGAAGGGCTCAGGTGTCCCCGGCAGGAGCTGGCAGCCTCCGGTCCACGCTCCCCCCACGGGCTCAGCCCCTCTGCCCTGGGGAGTGGCCGCCGCCCAGCGTGGCACTCACCTTCGTCGTAGTATTGGATGGTGTGGGTGGACAGCACCACTGGCACCCCGTTTTGCTCACACTCGCTCCCAGCGGCCACCTGGAACAGACGTGCGCTGTTAGTCAGGTGTTCTGGGGCAATCCGAGGGCCGGGGGAGCCTCCAGGCCACGAGGCGCCTCTTACGATTGGACTCAAGTAAGGGCTGCGTCTGGAGGCCACCAGGCCTCAGAGCAGGGAAACGGGACCGCTGTGGTCGTGGGGGCCGGGGGTGGCTGCCTCACCTGTGAGCCCAGAGCACAGGCAGCTACCCCTCCCCCCCAAAGATGGGACCCCCAGCCACACTGGACACTTGTCTGAGGGGGTGGGGAGAATGGAACCCGTGGGTGACCTGCACTGGGCTGTGTCGCCCACCAGCTTCCTGAACAAGGCGCAGGAGGTCTTCCCACCCCTCGGTCACCTCCCAGCCCGGTCTGCTCCCGGCTTCAGGCCACTGTCCTGCCTGCTGTTTTCCTCTTCGGTTATTTATTGATAAAGACGGTACATGCGTGCCTGCAGATGCAGACATGGACTGAGCGTCTACACTCGCATGGAAAAAAGTTGCAGAAGAGGGTGCAGGTTCATAATGCCATTTTATAACAAATAATCTAAATTCGGGCCCTCCCTGGTAGCGCAATGGGTTAAAGCGCAGCACTATGAAGCTAGTTGCAGCTGCTTCAGCAAAAGTTTGATTCCCAGACAGGGGAGCGACCCACAGGGCGCGGCAGACCTCTCCTGACCCGCCCACTGCTCCCCTCAGCCGTGTACTTCCTCGATCTGCCTGTTCTGCTCCCCGCTCTGTCTCTGGTGGATCCTCTCACCGCCCCTGCACCTCTGGCCTGCACCCCAGTTCTGTATGCATAAATAAAATCTTTTTTAAAAATCTAAATTCTACTACTAAGAGTTGAGGCTTCTTGAAATCAATTATTTGCTGAGCACTTTCCTCATTCTATCAGTAGCTAATGTATGTTGATAATCGCAGAGAGGAAAAATCCAAAAGAGTGCCACCTTCCTAAAGATGGAATCTCCGGGGTGGGGGGGCCGGACCTTCCTTTTTTATAGTTTTTATTTTTAAATGGTGTTGATGGCCTGCGATAAGCCCAGGATCTTGAACTGATTAACCCCACCCTGAAATCATAAGCGCTAAGCACCAAGCCCTCTCGCCCTGAGGTTATAACCGGCACCCCTGGGACGGGACTGGTGTGCCCATTTGATGATTCGGCTCACACTCTCTTTAAAGAAGGGTTTTGGTGTCAGTGGCCAACATTGCAAGTCAGGAGATTTCGTGGACACTGTTTTCAACTCCTCATGAAATTGTCTCCGGCACACCCATCCTCCTGTCTCATTCTCCGGTCGCTGCCGGTGGCTCTCACACCTGGGCCACTTGGGTGTGCCTGGGCCCCCACCCACCACGGTGTCTCAGCTGGTCTGGGTATGTGGGGGGCGGGGACGGCCTAGACATCAGGAGATTCAAAATTTCCACCCTCCCTGGTGGCGCAGCAGGTTAAAGCACAGCACTGCAAGCAAGCTGCAGCCACCCCAGTTAGTTCGATCCCCGGCCCGGAGCTGACCCACAGGACGCGGCAGACCTCTCCTGACCTGCCCGCTGCTCCCCTCAGCAGTGAGCTTCATCCATCTGCCTGTTCTGTGTCCCGCTCTGCCTCAGGTGAAGCCTCATGCCGCCCCTGCACCTCTGGCCTGTACCCCAGTTCTATATGCATAAATAAATAATTTTTTTAAAAAAAAAGCTCCCCCGACAAATTGAAAACCACCCGAGGGCCCACGCTTGTGGGGCTGCCTCCCTCAGTCCATTGCTTCAACTCAGGCCTTTGATTCTGAGCAGGAGCCATCTCCATGACATCATGGAGCGGGATCATTAGTGGCTGAGAAGTGTTCGGAATTCTCTTCCTCCTGTAGGGTTTCTGTTCCACCTGGGCTTTGAGGATTGTTCTGTTTTTCCATTCTGAAGCTTAATTTGCTTTTTTCTCAACGGAACGAAACACACACTGCTTCAATCTTCTGTGTGTAAACATAGGGATGTCACACTACCTTGGGGGTGTCCGTCTCTGACTCATTCTCTTGGTCTTCCGCTCTCTGGAGGACACTCATTTGGTTGCCCATTGCTCCTGCGAGAGAAGGGACAGAGAAATTAAAACCCAGATCAAACACAAGTCTTACTTCTGACCATGAAAAGGGGGAGACCCAGCAAGGTACCAGGGTGTGTGGTTGCAGAGTGCAAACATCTGCCAGCCCAAAACATGTCTTCTGGGCAAAAGATGGAATTCATGGGATGGGCTTTGAAGGCTGGGTGGAGGCTGCTTTTGAACAAAGGTCTTCACATGGAACTTTCTGTGAGTGTGGGCACTGGGAGGACCCCACTGCCTGCATGGCTTTCAGTGGAGAAAATCTGCACCCCTTTGTGGGCAGAAACTTCCCGGTCACCTCCCTTATGCACGCGCCTGCCCGTCTGGCCCCTAAACCTCCTGACTTGCGGAGCGATCTGAGGTGGTGCCTGGAGCCACCGGGCCTGCTGGGTCCCCGGTGCCCACAGAGGTGGGGGTGGGCTGAGGCAGCCGAGATGACGAGCTGGTCCAGGTGAGGCCGGGCAGGGTCGGCAGCGCTGAGCATGCACGTAATGGCACAGCTCACACATAGTAACCGGCTGTGAGCAGAGAAGCTGTTCTGAACCTCGCTTGGCGTGAGTAGAACGCGCTCCTCACAGCCCATGAACAAAGCAGTGGCGTCCTCCTTGAAGCTGACAGGCGAGAGAACGGAGGTCTGGGTCCAGGGCCCGACGAGGCTCGCTCACAAGGACACACATGCGGAGGGCTGTGTGGTCTACATCCGCTTTCCACAGAATTTAAGTCCTCACCAACAGGCGTATAAGCTCTTAGAGAGCCAGCAGTCAACTCAAATAAATTCAGCCGATTCGGGGGTTGCTTCCTAGGCAGGCTTGAGGGTCTGAGCAGTCTGTGGGCTGGGAGAAGTGGGGGCTGGCAGGTGGGAGCCTGCCATTGTAATGATAATGGGTGACATTACCCTGATAATTGCACATTGGAGGCCTTGGCAAATTCATGGCCAGGAAGGACCGAAACCCCGTTCTCCAGTCCTCTGCAGTGGCCACCAGCACTGCTGTCCAGGCGGTTACTGCTGTCCAGGCGGTTACAAGTTGTGGAATTGGTCCCTTGCTGGGTCAAGTGCGGACTTTGTGAGCAGCGACAGCGAGAGGTGACCGCCACCTACTGGCCGGCATCAGTATCGCAGCAGAAGTGATTCTGTTCACAGCCAGCGGCAGGGCTGGGGCGACCCCCCCCATCCCTCACCCCCGTTAAAGCCGGCAGCAGAAAGACACATCCTGCGACTCCCCCAGGAAAGGCTGTGACCTTGGCACGCAGCAGGGGAGGGCAGGGCTGGAGGGCACAGCACCGGAGGGTGGTGATGGGTCGCGGGCCGTGGTGTGGGAGAAGCCAGTTACTGTCCCAAAATGACCAGTGAGGTGAGGGGG